GTGGAAAGCATATGTAAAGCATACTAAAGTATGACTGTAAGATGGAAATCTAAATATAAGCTGAAAGCTAAACAAGAGTCTGAACTAGCAACTGAGCTGGAACTGAACCAAAGTTTAAGCTGAAACTGTGCTGAAACTGAACAACTATCTGAACCGGTACCTGTCTGGTGTTATGGGCTATATCCCCCTAATCAGGTAACTGTAAAACTGAACTAGCCTCATGTATAGTCATGCAATGCAAACTTAAGCTATATACGCGTATATAACATGCATGACTGGTGTTATGGGCTATATCCACCCAGCAGGTAAATAAATAATCAACAGGCTCAGCTGGTGTTATGGGTTATCTCCCCCCAGCATATAATTAATAGGCCTCGATGGCGTTATCGGCTATCTCCCCCCAGTATATAATCAATAGGCCTCACTGGTGTTATGGGCTATATCCCCCAGCATAATCAATGTAAGCATGTATGAGGCATAACACGTGTGGCAACATCATATGGACTCAAGAGATCATGAAGGAAACCATAAACGGAATCACAAACATAATCTGACGCTCGTCGTTCATAAGTTGGACGGAGGATGCTATCCCCATATTAGGGAGAAACTGAGTGTGTACATGAGAGACTAAGGTTAATTAACTCATTAGGATCCCTCTATAATCAATTTAGAACCAAGGAACTCAAGATTTTTCCAACTCTTCGAATTTCCAAAAATTTCGACAGAGTTTTCCCTAAAATTAGATGATCCCCAAAAACAATAGCAAGCACCACAATATACACAGGAATGGATACCCGGCTAAGATGATGACATCAAACTAAAAGAGATCCAGTTATCCACAATAGTGTCAAACGATCGACAAAATGGAATTGTGAATGTAATGTCGACTCATAGTGGCTAACTTGTGACATGAAAGTCTAAATAAGATTTAGGAATAATCTAAGCATCAACACATGAAAATTAAGCTTATATAATCTTAAATGAAACTATTAGGATCATATGGGGATTAGGTATACATAAAAACATCAAAGGAACGGAACAACCGGAAGTCCGGATGGCATAGGCCAAATTGGCGATTTGCCCTTTTGTTTTTGTCGTGTTTTGAAGTTCCAACCTAGTGTATTTTCTTTCATAATTAACATATGGAATTGAATAATATACAAGGATACAATAAATTCTGATATTTCCCTTGAAAAACCCTTAAAATATCAAGAAGAAAGGTTAGAACATAGCTAAACCAAATCATGCCGAAAACGAAACGAAAACCCTACATACCTCTAGTGTTCTTGCTTCCAAACCTTGTTCCCTTTGACCCACACCCTTACTTATGCTTGTATAACTAAAATACAGAGGTGACAATCTTCCTTAGCCACGAATATCTTTCCAAAACATGCGTTATAAGGAGAAAGGAGGACGGCTAAGTCTAACCTATGTCGTAAGGATCATGTTGATGTGTTCGCATCTTGATTTTGAGTTGCGGATGGTGGAATTGCTTCAAAACCCTAAGGATGTATTTAGGATGTCTAGAGAGACTTTTTAGGTCTGATTTGGGTCAAAATGAGTCTTAGAGAAGAAGGTTACAAATTTATATATCAAGATAATCCTCAACCGACCTTGTGGGTCCCAAAGGGAGCTGCTTGCGCAGTCTCGCAAAAACGCGAATATCTCTCCACTCTGACATCGTATTGACAAACGGTTTAATGCATTGGAAAATAGAATCGTAGATCCTCAATTTGTTTGGTGGATGAACCCGTAATTCCGATTAAATTGAGAGAAAATCTCAATAACATTAGACCTAAAATTTAAATAAAATTATGAACGTAACTTGCGACAACTTTTGTCGACTTTGGTTTCCTAACATGTTTGACTTCAAAACTTAACACACGACTATAACACGACTAAAATTCCTCATAATATCACCTTCATAGCATGTTAATCGCCCTAGTATCACCCCAAAAGTACGAGTTATAACATTCCCAACTTGTCATTTCGACGAAACATATTTTCTTCGATTTGTTTAGCTTATAAACCTTCCAACCTTCTTGGTACTTGCAGTTAATGATCTTAAATATTTGTAACCTCCAAGTTAACATGATTAACTTACTTTATGTACTTTCAAAGATTATCTAATTTTCGAGCATACATCAACTGACTTACGACGTACTTTTACGTACGAAAACATGGGATGTAACAGGCCCAATCGTTTGCAACCGGGGGCAGGTCCATCCGTTCCATCTGGAATCTCGACACGAATTCCCTAAGCATCTCGTTGTCCCTTTGACTTTGAATAGGTCCGATTTACTCGTTTCGACTTTGATAGCGCTAACATGGGCTTTAACGAAGGCATCTGCAAGCATAGCAAATGAATCAATAGAATTTAGAGGTAAGTTATGGTACCATGTCATTGCTCCCTTGGATAAGGTCTCCCCGAATTTCTTCTACAACACCGACTCGATCTAGTCATCCTAGAGGTCGTTGTCTTTTATTGCACACTTATAGGAGGTCACATGCTCATTGGGATTTATGGTCTCGTTGTATCTGGGAATGTCGGGCATTTGGAACCTTTTCAGAATTGGCTTTGGTGCAGTGCTTAGGAGGAAAGGTTTCTGAATGAACTTTTTGGAATCTGGTCCCTTCAATATTGGAGGCGCTCCCGGGATCTGATCGACCCTCGAATTATTAGTTTCCACCTTCTTGTCGTTCGCCTCTATCTTCTTCTCGCCGGATTCCACTCATTTTATCAGTGCTTCGAGAATTTTCATCACCTCCGAAGTTTTTTCGGGTCCGGATCCGTTGGGTTCTGTGACAATCTGTTCTTCTCTCTGAGCATCTTCTCCAACCTGTTTGGGTTCGGCCGTGTTGTGCGCGTGATTTTGACTCTGCAGTTGTGCAATAGCAACTTGTTGAGCTTGCAATATCTCAAAAATCAAATGTAAGCTAACTCCATCACCTCCCCCTTTCGGGTGCCTTGTTAACCGATGGTCGTGGTGCCCCGTGAATGTTGTTATCAGGATCAGTCGGTAGGTTGATGTTGATAGCAACCTGTGAATTGGCATCGACTGGGTCAGCGATCGAAAAGCCATTAGGGCCAACATGGGGTACGTTGTTGCTTGGAACCACGTTATTATTTTCACCGTGGTGGTCTGACTCGGCGTCAACACCCAAATGAGCAGATTGGGAATTTGACATATTGAATCATCCTGAAATCAAACTTCAAAGAACAAGCGTAAAATATAGTGTGTTATAAAGATCCATATTAAATCACCACTATTACCCTTAGCCTCACGGTGGGTGCCAAACTGTTTACCCTAAAAATGAGTAATAATTAAATCTGTACGCGGTTTAAAGGATACGTGGTTTAATTTAACATGAATGGTCAAAGACCAACAAGTAGTTGAATTAAAGGGAAACAAAACGATCAAACCAAATGTGACAAAGTAATTAAGCATGCGTTGGATTTGAATGTTAAAGGCCGGTTCCAATCGAGCCCTTGGAATGGAGCTCGATGGTAACTGAATGGATGAACAGCTTGAAGAACACTTGAACAATTGGTAAAAGACAAAAGTAAACTTTATTGCTTTGATATGTGTGCCAACAGTGACCCAAAAAATAAAAAGGTTCCCCTCTTTATATAGTAGAGCAGTTTTAGCTCTAATACAAGTCTAAATAAGGTAAAAATCCCTTCCTTCCTTTTTTCCCAAGAAAACACGATCCGCCGTTAATATCGGGCGTGATTCGTGTCGTAATATCCGGCTGGTATTGGATATTCCGGCTCCTCGTTTGTCCTTTTTAATTGTCTTCCCTTTAACCCTGATTCTTCGTTTCGCTCGAGCTTGATTCTTCCCGTGTTTGGCCATGCTCGATTCCCGACGTATCATTCATCCACCCCCGGGCTCCGATCTGCGGTCACCCTCGGCCTTACCCGAGCCAGCATCGAATCACGTTGTTCGTCGCTTCTTCATCGGGAAATCAGGGGTAACTTTATCCCCGATTTTACCCATACACAATTATCAAACTTAAATTTAAAGGGAGAGGGAGGGAAAACTAAGCATCGGCAATGGTGCATATTTCATTTGTTCTTAGCTTGGAGAATTAAAAGCATAACTCTTGCTTCAATTTTTTATCCATGTATTTTTCCATCTATATTTAGCAATTCATTATGTCATTCACACCTATAAATGAAACAAAAATAGTCCTAAGTGAGTATGTACTTTTGTCTTGAATTTTTTGAGTAAATACAAAATTAATATATCAAAATTAGAATACAGCATCCGAGGATAGAGGACTTTTGTTGCGACAGGTTTCTTCATTGAGTTAAATAAATAGGATGAATGATCATCATTTTAAGGAACTTAAAATTTGTTTTATCTAAATTTTATTTGATGACTCAAATATATTTTTAATAATATTATAACTTTTTAGTATTTATACTTATAGTACGGGGTACATGCACAACGCACGTGTCCAGAAACTAGTTACTGATACATCCAAATAGAAGAAACGTGTTTCTAATTTTGCAAATTAGAGCAGAATTAATAGGTCTTTGCAATCAGGAGAGAAGAAATCAAATATCAACGTAATTAACCATTAAGACTAAAAGTTTCAGCACTACAGGCTACTATGTGCTTAATAATAAGCAATGGCATTAAAACTTAGTTTGCGCACCTTTTTGCATAAGTTCACTAGGAAAAATAAATGGAAAAAGATCGAGTAAAAAGCAGAAAGAAGATTTGAGCATTACATCTTTACACGGAAAATCTAGCATTTTGTTCGAGTTTACTGGCACACATGAAAAGGGCAGCCCGGTTAACTACGCTCCCGCTATGCGCGTAGCCGGACCACAAGGGCCTATTGTACGCAGTCTTACCCTGCATTTCTGCAAGAGGCTGTTTCCACGGCTTGAACCCGTGACCTCCTGGTCACATGGCAGCAACCTACCATGGCAGGAACCTTACCAGCAACCTAACGAGCTACACATGGATTTCAGAAAAAAAGATGAATAATTGTAACTTTCAATAAAATTATACTAAGGAAAACTGTAGTAAGGTTACATGAATGGTGCTAGTTAGTTCTAACTTTCTAACAAATGAGGCCTGAAATAACCTTGCCACTGCATCGAAGACAAACTGAATAAAGAATAGCCTAATATTACAGAGATGCAGCAGCTCGAGGCAAACCTCATCCTAAATCTCTTTACAGCTTATTACAGATTTTTGATTTCACGTCCCCATTCCCATCCGGAGGATGAACTTTAGGACATGGGTTATTATTAAAAGCAGTAGTTCCAGGTTCAACCTTTTGCGGTGGAGGTGGAGGTGGAGGAGGAGTTGGAACAGTATTGGCAACACCATTCCTGAAAGGTTCATGTTGATTCCTTGAATCAGTCATGGCTATGCCGTTGCCGTTCACTTCATTTTGGCTACCTGAATCAGCACCTCGCACCATTGAAGAACATTTTGTTTCTGTATTCAGAATAGACGTATTTAGTAACTAATCAACATATCCCAGATGAAACATAGCAGTATCAACATATGGACTGTGTTCCTCTCGTGAAGCGGGGAGGGGATAACAAAACTGCAAATGAACCAAGCATACTTTGCAGTTTCAAAGGTCCCACCCCCCTCGAACATAATAAGAAAGAAAGGATATTCCTGATAGACAGGCAATGAAATTTCAAAGTATATTGCAAAATAGTTTAAGAAAATGCTTTATTCAATTTAAGGGCAAGAAGAGATTAAGGGAACACGAAAGTGAATTCTTTACAAGTGCGGAGGACCACTCTTTGAAGGTCTTGTCTACAGATAAATGCCCTTTTCCTGTTTGTGAGTATGTCTACCAACTCGACTTCTTCAGCTAAACTTTTACCAAACGAACAAGAATTAATTCCCTTCGTAACTTGAGATTATCATCTTATGACAGTGTGGCATCCGCTCAGTAAGCCTTTGGTTTCCAGCACTCATAGGACCAGGGGCAGAATCTAAGATTTTGAGCGGATGGAGGCACTATTACGAAGAAGTGGATTCAGGATATAAATTTGATGGGTTCAACTTTTAGGTTCTTACTGTTGAACCCATTACGCTTTTGAAATTAATTAATAAAATTAATAGTAATTTTTACATATATCTCCGTGCAAAAATATTCAGATCAGTTAAACACATTGGCTATATGCTACATCCTTCACTTTTACTGGTTTTAATATACACATTTGCTATAATTATATAAAACTTTACGGCAACAAAAGGAAAATAGGGATTTCTATGTGTCAGACTTGGAAATTTAGAAAGAATAAACCAAAAAAATAAGTAAAAGAGAAACGTACCCAATTGAAACGCAAGAACAGATACCAGACGTGCCCATCCTCGTGGGTGGGCCCAATTCTAGAAAAAGGAAAGGAAAAGCAATAAGATAGACATAGGATTTGAACCCCCGACCTCACTTAAAGAGGTGCACACAACAATTATTGCACCATATGACACTTTGAGCTTGGCTCAACATATATATTTAAGTATTTTATAAGAAAATATACTCCCTCTGCTTTAATTTATGTGAACATATTTGACTGGGCACGGACAACAACAACAACAACAACCCAGTGAAATTCCACTAGTGGGGTCTGGGGAGGGTAGTGTGTAAGCAGACCTTACCCCTACCCCGAAGAGGTAGAGATGCTGTTTCTGAAAGACTCTCGGCTCAAGAGGACAAAAAGACAAAAGGGGACAATATCAGTATCACCACAGAAATCATAGGAAAAATAGGAACAGCATGAAATCCAGAAGAAAGATGCAAAGCAAAAGCGATAGCTAGTAAATAGGTCCGGCACTGAAATGGAAAATAGTAAANACCGACCCAAGGTACTTGAAGCTGCCTCTACTTGGGATGACCTATGAGTCAAGCCTCACATCCACGCCCACTTCCCCCGGCTCAGCGCTGAACTTACACTTCACACCCATTTGACTGGGTACGGAGTTTAAGAAAAAAGAGAACACTTTTGAACTTGTAGGCTAAAATGAGGCACACATATTTTGTGTGGCTATAAATCATTGTATAAAGGCAAATTATTTTCAAATATGCAAAGTAGTCATTCTTTTTGGCACGGACTAAAAAGGAAATAGGTTCATAAATTAAAAGGGAGGGAGTAGCATTATTATACATGATCTAGGGAGGGGAGCATGGGTGCACGTAAACCCAGGCCCACAACCTAGATATGCCACTTCATGGACTTGTGCTAGTTTTAGTTTTATGTGGTTACTTGTCTCATCTAAACTCCAAACTTTTCAGCTCTTGGCAACTGATTATGCACACTATAATTTCAGCTTTGAAACTACCTAACCAGCTGATTTACCAGAATGTTTAATGGAAAAATACAATTACCCCTTGAACTATAGACCAAATCTCTATTACACACTTTTTGCGGACGAAAATAACCTTACTCACTCAACCTTTTCAGAGTTTGCCTAATACACACTACTTTTTCCTTGACCAATTTATCAAAATATGTGTAATGTCACACTCCAATGAAATAGTGACATGTGTCATTGACGTATTTAAAAAAAAAAACTTAAAATTATAATGAAACCTATCTTCTTCATCAAATCCACCACCATGGCTGTCATCTCCTCGGCCACCATTCAGATTTCTTTGCATCTGTTAGTTCTATTTTCACCTCATTTTCTCCATTATCTTTCTTATCTTCTTCTTCTTAGTTCTTTTCTTTTTCGGCAGGTGAATCCTAGAAACGATTAGTAAGATCCGCAACATCTCATTAAAAGCAAAGCATTCTTAGGCGGAATGCAAACGCTTACACTGGCTTTGTCCTCTTCCTCTACTTCTAATTCCTTCATTTCAACAGTACTCTCAAACAATTTCCAAAATAATTTGGACAAACCTAGAAGATCCTTCTTTAAAACTATATATTATCTCTCTCCACCTTTAAAATTGCATAGGCGATCAAGCTTTATTATTAGACTCTTCTTAATTTCAAGGGAGGGGTTTCGGGAAAACAAACGGATGATGGGGACTGTGAAAGACAAACATGGGAGGAGTTTTGTTTGTTGAAGAAAGAAAAACACAACATAAAAGAAAAGAAAAGAAAATAGAAAAATCAATTTAAATTGGATCAATTTTATTAGATATGGATCGTTCAAATAAAGCATCAAGTATATTTTTTTGTTTCTTCACACGCCTCAATTTGTTGGTAAACCACGCACTGGCCACGTAGACAAAGTTGTGTGTATTAGACACTCTAGAAGTGTGTAAGGTGAACTTCATTCGCAAAAAATGTATAACAGGGATTTGGTCCATAGTTCATGGGTAAGTTATGTATTTTGCCAAGTTTATTTAATGGAATTTTCTAATTGAGGCCTACCTCACTTTCGCAGTCCTTGGCAGGGAGACAGGAATCCATAAATATTTCAGCACACAACTATAACTTCTTATTAAGATTTTTCCAAAATTCATACTTTTCATCAAACTACATGTGCATACTTAAAGAAAATAATCCATATGGGTAATAGTAACTAGTTGGTAACAAAGGCCACACTTTAAGTCTGGTATTTGCTAAGTGTTTAAGCCTGGTTGGAGATTTGTATATCAGTATTGTAAGTCTGAGATTTACCCTATTTCAGTGAACTTCTAGTTTGTCTTAATATTGGAACGAGTTGGGACCACATAGAGCGGAATAGTTATAAGAGGATTTATACAGCGGGACGGTCCCTGCATAGCTTCAACTTGAGGCGAAGTTGGTTGATTAATTGATTGATGTAACGACCCGACCGGTCGTTTTGAGTATTTTAGCCATGTTTCGCTTGTTTGATGCTTTAAATGTGTAATTGTTATTATATGATTAGCGGGGATGGTTAGTTCGGGTTCGGGTTCGGGTTCGGGGAGGTTTTGGAGTGAATTGGGAACCTTAGTCCCAGGTTGGAAGCTTGAATTGTAAGAGTTGACAGGAGTTTGACTTTTGTGTAGACGACTTCGAAATGGTGTTTTGATGGTTCCAATAGGTTTGTATGGTGATTTTAGACTTAGGCGTATGTCCATATTTGGATTTGGAGGTACATAGGTTGATTTGGTGCTTTTTGACAAAAGTAGGAAAGTTGAAGATTTGGAAGGTTCATAGGTTTGACCGAGAGTTGACTTTGATGATATCGGGTTTGGATTGTAGTTCCAAGAGTTGAAATAGGTCCGTTGTGTCATTTGGGACTTGTATGCAAAATTTGAGATCATTCCGAGTTGATTTGATATGGTTCGGCATAAGTTTTGGAAGTTGAAAGTTCATTAGTTTCTTAGGCTTGAATCGGGGTGCGATTCGTGGTTTTGAGGTTGTTTTATGTGATTTGAGGCCTCGAGCAGGTCTGTATTATGTTTTGGGATTGGTTGGTGTGATTGGACGAGTCCCGGGAGCCTCGGGTGTGTTTCGAGGTGGTTTCAGACCAGTTTCCCTTGTTTTGCAGCAGTTGCCTTATGGTGTTTATCGTGATCGCGGAAAGAGGGTCGCGATCGCGGAGTGTATTTGGTGGCAGGTGAATTTTGCTCTTCGTGTTCACGATGGAGGGGTCGCGTTCGCGGAGCTTGTGGAGCAGTGGCCTTCGCGTTCGCGTACGGAGAGTCGCGTTCGCTTAGAAGGGAAGGATGGTCGTGCGCGTCAGAATTTTAGCCTTCGCGATCGTGTGGGATTGTCCCCGTTCGCGTAGGCTTGGTAGCTAGTGAATAGCGAGCCTGGGGCCGCGTTCGCGTAGGGTCTTTTGTGGAACTGGAATTTTTGGTCTTCGCGATTGCGATGAGGGTCCCGCAGTCGCGATGCATATGCCTAGGTAGACCTTTAAAATATCATTTTCGGGATTTGAGTTATTTTATCACATTTTGAGTTATAGAGCTCGGATTTGGGTGATTTTGGAGGGGATTTTCACGATTTGGATCGGGGTAAGTATTTTTTGACTCGGATGTGTTCATTATTCATAATCCCAACCTTGATTTTAGTGGTTGATTGATAAATCTAAGTGAAGAAATTGGAGATTTTAGTAAAAACTTTTCTAAATGAAATTTGAGGATTTGAACCGCGATTCGGAGTCGGAACAGGATGAAACTAGTATAGTTGGACTCGTATTCGAATGGGTGTTCGGAATTTGTGACTTGTGTCGGATTCCGTGAAGCAGGCCCGGGTTGACTTTTTGATTTTGTCCAAAATTGAAGCTTTATTGTTTGGGGTTGTTTCCTACGGCATTATTTGATGATATTAAGTTGTTTTTTACTAGATTCGAGCCATTCAGAGGTCGATTCGTGTGGGAAGAGCATCTTGGAGTATTGATTCTCGCGCTTTGAGGTAAGTAACATATTTAAACTTGGTTTAAGGTTAATTATCCCTGTGAACTATGATACTTGAGATGTTTTGGGGGTGACGCACGTGCTAGGTGACGGGCGTGTGTGCGTACACCGGGGTGTTCATAATCCGGGTAGACTTTAGGCTACTATAAGACTTGGTCGCTTTCATGCCTCTATATCCGTGTTTTCTCTATTTGTATGATCATTTGAGTTATGACTCATGTTAGAAATCATGTCTATGCTATAAACTTATTTGTTTGAGACATAATAGGGTTGATCTTGTTATTTTGAGCTGTTTGCCTTAATTGTAGTCATATTCTCGGTCATAATTCTTCATCCACATGTATCTCAGTCTCTGTACATTATTTGTTTGTCATATCGCGTATTGTTGTTGCCTTCTATATGTGATACTGTTTGGGCTAAGTTCTATGAGATGTGAGCCATTGAGTCTTGAGCGGTTGATGACTGATGTGGGCCATAGAACCGTGTGGTGGGTTATGCTGGATCGGATTACACGCTGCAACGGATTGATATTGATTATTGATTAGCGCTTGGGCCAGGATCCGCCCCTCCGGAGTCTGATATTACAATGAGCGCAGGCACAGTGATATATATGTGCTTTGGTGTGGGGCATTTGTGTCAAACACCCGTACAGTGCTAAGTGATTGAGTGTGTGATAGTGAGGGGCATTTGTGCCAGGCACCTTGAGTGTGCTGAGAGTGAGTCTACTTAATGATTTCACTGTGATGTTATTGACTTGACATGTAGGCATAGAGATATATTTTCCTCATGCTAGTTGGTAAATGAAATGTCTTATCTATTGTTGAAAGTTTGGAAAAATCACAATTTCCTCGATAATCTCATATTTTAGAAATTTTGGTGAAAGAATGGGATTTGAATGTTATACTTGGAAAGCATGTCTAATTTTCTGTAATTGTGAACGAGCTGAACATGATATCTTCTGAGTTATTTACTTTTACTGTTTCATTATATTATAAGTTGTTATTGATTATTGGTGTTGAACACTGACTTTCTTTTGAGTCTGTCACTGCTTTTAGCCCGAGGTTAGATTTGTTACTTATTGAGTACATGGGGTCGGTTGTACTCATACTACACTCTGCACTCTATGTGTAGATCCAGGTAGTTCGGGGCGTGGCGATTGTTAGAGGTTTGCATCGGATTCAGCTTGTGGAGACTATGAGGTAGCTGCTATGCCGTTTGCAGACCTTGAAGTTCTCGTTTGTTTATTTATGTTATCACTATTCTATCATTCAGACAGTTGATCGAGGATTTGGCTATGTATTTTGAGATTTTGTAGTGCTCATGTACTCGTTGACGCCAGATCATTGGGATGATTGTAGTTGTGTTATTGTTATTTTTCTCAGATATGTTATGATATTACTGTTGTTGAGATTATTAAGCTTCTGCTAATTTAGTTATTGTTATTGCAGAAGGATTGGCTTGCCTAGCAAGACATATTAGGCGCCATCACGGCTCCGGTGGGAGTTTGGGTCGTGACAATTGAGAAGCTTTCTTGTTGTATTATTCTAAGGGCATATATTCATTGATAGGAATTTTAGGGCTTATTATTGGTTTCATTGATTCAGATGCATTTGGCAAGTGCTATCAATAAATGGAGTAGAATCAGATTTTCAGACAGAAGATTAGAAACATACCTTTTAATTCTCCTAAAGTGATCAGCTTTTTAAGGCAATCACGCGTTCGCGTCAATACGATCTTCTCCAGTTCTGGGTAGACTTCTTTCATGCCCTGCCCATGAGGAAGTTGGGAAGATGTATTATTGCTAAGGCTTGTTGGGTCATTAGGGGGAGCAGCAGCCGCAGTAAAAATCGTATTCTGTTCATCGCACATGAGTGCTAATGTTCCCGGAGACATTGGCCTTTCTTTTGGTACATTAGCACTATCCAAACTAGACTCATCCATATTCTCGGCCCGGACTGCATTTGAACAATCATCAGGTATAACCTTCTCAATACCTGATGAAGGGTAAGAAGCTTCACTGTGGCACTTCGCTTGTTTTAGTGAAGCATCTCTTTCATCTGAAAGCATTCCAACACATAATCAATTAAAACATTATGTATAGTGGAAATGTCAGCTAAAACCAAGCAATCACATGGAAAAACCATCAGATAATAGATGCTAAATCTCTCCATGGTGAAAAAAAGAAAAAGAAATCCTGATGATTGTCCAAAAGATAATTTATCATGATATGGTCCTCTATCTGGTAAAAGAGATAAAACAATTTTTTTTCTTTTTAATAAATCTTTTTTTCCATATCAGACTAATTTGTAAACGAATTTAGATCTTAAATTAGCTATCATCTAAACCAGAAGCGCTGTACCAGCTTATGCATAAGTACCTACCCGAGTTAGTCATCCTCCACTCAGGATCTTGCATTAAACTGTTGAAATAGATGGCCTGACTTTCTTGCTCTGGTAAGGAGCATTCTGGTTTACTTTTAATGGTATACTCAAGCACATAGATGAAATTTCCATTTATTCCTAATTTGGCAAACTTCTAAAGTAATTCTGATCTTATCTATACTCCCTAAATAGGAAAAGGCAGATAAAATTTTCATATACGATATATGCATCTCAACAAAAAAATGCAGTTTTATTAACTTTTATTTATTGTTATTTTGTAATAAAGAAATTGTAGATAATCTTATCTCTCACTGTAGATGAGCATTGCTCAAGAATGCACCTACAGTTCTTGTACAAATGCTCTTAACTTCCAAGCTCATGAATGGTCTGTTACTCCAAAATTAGGAGCATGGACTTTAACAGCAACATCACCCGGGGACATCTCCTCCCATTCTGTTTGTGGCACATTTGGCTAACCAGAAATAGCAACATGTTCAATAACAAAAAAGAGGCTATCTATTAAGAACACCATTGCTGAGGCAGTGGAATTTCTCCTTGTTGCCAAGACAACCTTTCAACCGCTACTAAGCAGACCATCAATGTTAAATGGGAACCCCCACACAAGGGTTCCTATAAGCTCAACACTGATGGCTCTAGCTTAACAAATCCAGGCGGTATAGGAGGGGTTTTTAGAAATAGTAATGGTGACTAGAGCTATCAAATTTGGCCCAAGCCCAACTGACCCGCCCAACCTGCCCAAGGTTGGGCTAGTCATTGATCCGCCCATTTATTGAACTCAGCTCATCTTGACCCAGTCCATTTAAAGTTAGCTTGATTTTTAGCCCAAATTGATCCATGAGTAACTTTGCCAAAATATCTTTAAAATAATTCTTTTTTGTTTGATATGTTATATATGACCATATCAAAAGAAAAAAAGTCTTATTTAGTAATTATACAATTCATAAGAAAACAACACATATTAATTAAAACTTAGTAAGAATTGGGCGGGTTGGGCTATGACCCAAATTTAAGTTCATCTTGACTTAGCCTATCTCAACCCAAGTAACTTTTGGACGGAGCCAATGACCCGCCCATTTATTGACTCAGTTTATTTTGACCTGCCCAAAATCGGCTCAACCTGCCCATTTGATACCCTTAGTGGTGACTAGGTAATGGGCTTCATGAAAGACCTAGCACGCACCACTAACTCTCGATCAGAATTACTAGCACGATTGCAGGGGTTGCAGTTGGCTGTGGATAACAATTTCACTCCCCTTGAAGTGGCTATTGACTCAGCGGAGGTAATACACGCGATTAACAGAGGAAACCTTCATTATAACTCCGTAATTTCTGCATGCAGGTTATTGCTAGCAAGGTTGGGGAATCCGACCGTAAGCCACCGAGAATCAACTAGAGTGGCAAACATCCTAGCTAAGGGGCCAGGAAGCAGGTTTTGGACAGCACCACCATTTTGGTAGTTCTTCTAGTGTTTGCAAATGAAGCACTATTGGCTCCAGGAACTACTTTTTTTAGAAACATTTCGGAATGTAATAGCTTAAATCTAGCAGTAGACTATTCTCTCTTTGTATGCAGCAACAACGCTCCCCAAACTCATATATATATATATATATATATATATATATATATATATATAGGGTCTTGCTAACATACTACATGAAGGTAGTATGTTAGCAAGATACCCATTTTCTCTTTACCTAAAATATCTCTAGTAGCCTATTGGAACACATTAATATAGGAGGCTTTTTGGTCTTTTCACGAATAACACTGAACCCAACACATCTCATACCCATTTTCCCGTCCCTCTCGTTGAGATTTGTCCTCTCTCTTCTCCTACTCTTTTTCCCATTTTCTCTATTCCCAGATTCATCTTCAATATCAAGTAAAGGATACCATGGCCATAATCTCTAATATATAATTAAAAATGTCTTTCAATTTTGATACCCCGATCTATTAGATTAAACTTATTTCTTGTCTTGCATTTTGTTTTAGATATTCCAAGGCAGTCTTGGGAAGAAGAGATACACTACAACATTAATGGAGTTACACATATAATCAACTCTTTTGCTTTGAGGAGTATATCATGTGTGTTTTGGAACTTGTCCACTAGCGAGATTATCAAGCTCCTTTTTCTTACTGAAAAAATTATGTTTTTTTTCTTACTGAAAAAATTATGTTTTTTTTCTTACTGAAAGTGGGTTTAGTTTTTATTTTTAGTTTCAGCAGAGCTTCTTGTGGAGGAGTTAAAGATTATATATTGTGTGCATAGTTTTATTTACCAAGAAATTTATGCTCTTGAGTTGAAATAATATTGGTTTAATGGTTGGAAGAATATCAGTTTAAAGACACAATTTACAATCCATCAAGAAGGAATTGAAGCTAAGAAAATGGGTTGAAATCTGCAAAGGGAGAGCTTGCAGACAAAGAAAACTAAAGTTGGATCCTTTTACTTGGAGAAACACGAGTGTAAAAGGGAAGAACAAAATTGGATAACCGAAAAGACAAAAGAACCCCTTTAACTCAGTTGTTGCTAGTATGTTATTAAGGATATTTTAGGTAAANATATATATATAAGTGTTCTAACTTGTTAGAACATAGTATTCAATAATAAGACTCTTACATTAGTTCTGTTTGACAGACTTAAATAATATCAATGAATTTGTTATGTTTGGCAGACTTGAACAATATCGACGAATTTGTTTCTTTTTTCTAGTTTCACACCTTACAAATTTTTAATAGTATTGATGGATTGATTTGGTATTAAACTCTTGGCAGAATACATCAACAGCCCCACAAACTTACCAAAAATTTTCATTTAGACACCTTATCCAAGGGCCTGACCCATTGAAAATCTGATCTAACTAGGGAGGAATTAGATAAAGGACTCATCCGTATGCCATTTATATCTACAAAAGAGCAGTTGGCCGGTGTTTTAACAAAAGGACTGCCAAACAATGTATTTCAAGACCTGATAAGCAAGCTAGGAATGGAAGATATTCATTCACCAGCTTGAGCGGGAATGTTGAATGATAGAGGATTTCCTGAAGATGTTCTCCATATCAAGATCTGATCCTCTAAGATTTAGGGATAATTGTTGTAATCTAGAATATCAGATTTCTTATAATTTTTGTGTATTTTACATGATTCTATATAATCCCAGATTTTATCGGATTTAGGTAATTGTGCTTCTCAAACCTTTTTGTATATAAAGCCATGTACATGACATTGAAAGATATGAATGAGATTATTCAAGTGTCTTACTCTTTCCACAATTAATACTAGTAGTGACTGGCATCAACTTCTCAAATTCCTCCATGACTGCATGTACATGTTCCAAATAAGTAGATATATTTAATTTATTCTTATTTAAGTTAGTCAAAGGAGAAATCACATCACAAAAATGAAATGTCATTAGTTATAATGAAAAAAAATTGGATATTGGACCTAACTCAACCCGAAAAGCTAGCTCATGAAATGAGAATCGCCGAAGACCATATAAGAAGCCTAATACTTAATCCCACAACCGATGTGGGAAACTCA